CCCTTTCTTCCCAAGTGATCTAAGACCATAGTATTACTTCAAGCCAGGTCAGCATAACTCTGGTGTTCCATGTATGTTCCATGTCCCAGCAAAGCATCACCCTTTTCTATGACCAGTACTGCACAGTGTGTTTTGAAGATGACAACTCAATTCATCACAATTAGTTTGGCTAAACTTAGCTGAGCTGGGCAACCTTGATATGGGTCCAAACTTCCAAGGGCCAGGTGCAGAGTCACACACATACACACTGCTCTGCTTCTCTCACTTTGGCCTTGGAAGGCAGTCATACACACACTGCTCTGCTTCTCTCACTTTGGCCTTGGAAGGTTTTTATAAATGTATTTGTGAAAACAACTATTTAAACTTATAAAACATAAATTCTATTTTATTTTAATCATTGGTGCAGATTAATACACTACAAGAGGGTAAATGACTTTGTGTGATAATAAAAGATGATGACAGGTTCAACAACATGCTTAAACAACATAGGACAAAGACAAAAAAACTCTTGATCTACATATATTTCACAGACAGAATAAATAGATGGCATTTGGACACAAAATATAGATCTGCTATAGACACATATACCCACCACAAATACAGCTTCCTTTACATAAACACATCAGACACACGCCTTACATAGACATAAAGATATGTGAAAACACATCACATTTGTGCCAAAAATTATATTTCTGGGACCAAAACAACCCAGAACATTACAGGACCAGGACTTTTAACCATGTGATCTAGAGTTTTTAGACCAACATGGGTCTGATGAATCACCAAGCTGGTATATTTTCCTATTCCATCCTGTGTTCTCCTTTAGCTTCCATCCTTTTTTTTTGCTGTAGCTTTTTGGTTGAACAAGAGTTCCTGTGTTTAGTTGAAGGATTGGAGAAAATGTTCAGAGGATCTTCTTTATTCTCTGTGAGAATTAACTAATCTTTGGAAGATTTTAATCTGTTGGAGATTTTCATTCTGTTTCTGCTTACAATGGACTGAGGAACGCATGCTGCTATACCCAGAGCTGAAAGACCATCTCCCTCTGTTAGTCAGCCATTCACCTACGTTGTTACGACCTCGTTGGTTCCTAATCTCTAAATTGCTCCCATATTCTGAGGAAACATCTCCGCTCACTGAAACACACGAAAAAAGCTGTTATTTAACAAAAGTGGATGAAGCCAAGAGTTTGTGGAAACTCAGTGATTAATTCTTCATCATTCTAAACTTACTGTCTGGAATGACTCCGTCATCCTTACTTCTTGCCACCTCCACAGAGGGCACTGTTGGTTTCTCTGGTTCCTTTTCTAAAGCTTTCATCATTCTCTCCATCAGCTCCTGCTCCCGTCTGTTCCACTCCTCTTCTGTCAGCTTCCGTTTCTTTCCTTGCCAAGGTAGAAACTGAAATTTCTTTTTTCTTCCTTTAGTCTTGAAGCATCCTTTGTTCTGTTTTACCATGTTGATAATTTTTTGGAACAGCTCTTTGTCTTGAACAGGATCATCATAATCAAAGCTGCTGAGAACATGATATCTGTTCCCACACTTCTCCAGAAGCTCCTGGAGCTCCTTGCCCTCTCTGACGATGTAGTTCTCTACAGGGAGGCCATTGAGCCAGTCTCCCCAGGTAAACAGCACCATGCAGTGTCTCCACACTCTCTCTGTTAATGGCATCAGGACCTCCACCAGAGCTTTGAGATCTTTC